GCAAGCATTTGGGGAGTGCGGGGCTCAGGGGTTTCCAGCCTTTGGGAGGTTGGTTCCAGTTACCCCACGAGCAGAGGGCGCCAGGGCGTCTCGCTCTCCTGTGAAATTGCCCCACGGCGGCCTCATGAACACCCCTCAGCAGCTGGAGGCCCCTGAGGAGAAAAGAGCAAGGCCCTGGGTCCAGACAGACCTGGCTTCCCTCAGGCCCCTTCCACTGGGCGGCCATGTGACCTTGACCCTGAGGGTGGGGATCTGATTGTAAACCAGGCTGGAGGAGGTGACCCAGGCCGAGTCCTTGACCCACCCGAGGTGCTCCCCGGAAGTTTGTTTCTCCCCTGGTCCCCAAGCTGCCTCAGTGCGTGGGCTCCCAGGACGGCCTCTGTGGGGTGATCTGCCCCCCGGGAGCTGCCCCTGGCCCTGGGCTGTGGAGCGTGCTTGGCTGTGATCCAGGATGGCCAGCGGTGCAGGGACCCAGGGTGGCCTGCGTCACATTCCCTTCCCTGCGGACTTTCCCAGGACTCTGACTTCCCCCTCTGTCCCTCCGTGAGGCAGGCTGGTCACCGAGAGTGGAAATGTGGGAGCTGGGCTGTTTGGCTCTGGGTTGGGTACCTGAGGGCTGGTGGGAACGGCCTGGGCTGGGTGTCCCGAGACCTTCCCGGGGCCTCCAGACCACGGGAGGGCCAGGGTGGTAGGGGCCGTGGAATGGGATAAACTTGGGTCCAAATCCCAGGTTTCCCCTCCCTTAACGGGGTAGCCGTGGGCAAACACCTTAACTTCCATGAGCTTCAACAGCCCCATCTGAGAAATGGGCTCAGGGCAGCCCTGGCCTCACGGGGTCGTGTGAGGATGAGAGGGAAGGATGTTTGACCGGGGCCTCTGGTCAGCACTGGGCAGATGTCAGTAAAGGGGACTTTGAGAGCTTGGGGCTCCCTGAGGCCCAGCCTAGAGGGTGGAGAGGTCACCTCCCCTTCAGCTCCTGCGGGTGCTGAGTGATGGCAGCAAAGGAACAAAGTGGATGTCACCAGGAGGAGGCGCTAACACCCCTCCTGCCCCCAGGGGCAGCTCAGCTCAGCCAGGGCTCCAGGACCCAGGACCTGCCAAAGGGCCGAGATGATGGCTGCCCTCTGGGGTCCGGCAGGGACGATACCATGAAATAAAACTGGTTTGTCTTCACGTCAGCGACACTCACATCAGTGTGCCAGGCAGTCGTGGGCCCCAACCCGCCCGCTGTCGCTCCCTGAGCCCTGGCAGCACCGTGAGGGAGCTGTGTGGTTATTCCCATTTTAGAGATGGGGAAACCGAGGCTCAGAGAAGTTGGGTCACTTGCCCAAGGTCGCCCACCAGGAAGTGGCCAGTCTGCCCCATGTCCTTGGCCCTTGACCCCTATGGCTTTGGCCTTGAGGTTTTACTGTTGGGGTCTTTTGCTCGCGAGCGGGGAAGGTCTGGGGGAGCAGGGAGCCCCGGGCCCCCCTCCCGCCTCCCTGACCGACGCCTCCCCCCACTGCACCCCCAGTTCTGTTCCACATGTACGACTCGGACAGCGACGGCCGCATCACCCTGGAGGAATATCGAAATGTAAAGTATGCTCCCGGCCCGGCCAGGGCTCCTGGCCACCCCGCCCTGCGGCCCGATGGCGGGGCGCAGGCCCGCGGTCACCTGTCTGTGCCCCGGGCAGGTGGTGGAGGAGCTGCTGTCGGGGAACCCGCACATCGAGAAGGAGTCGGCGCGCTCCATCGCCGACGGGGCCATGATGGAGGCGGCCAGCGTCTGCGTGGGGCAGATGGTGAGTGCCCGCCGCCTCCTGTGATCCGCGCCGAGCCCTGGCCCGTCTGTTTCTGGAAGGACGCGTCTGGCCCGCTCCCCACTCTCACGGTGCCTGGCGCGAGCAGTGCTCGGAAACCCTCCCTGCCTTCCCCACCCCAGGGGACCCCCGGAGGTCCCAGCCCCGGGAGAGCTGTGCCAGGCCGGGCGGGTAGAGTCGGGTCGGGAGGAAGGCAAGCAGGACCCTCGGGCACGAGCACAGCTGGACACACCTGGAGGCTCGTCAGGGTCACGGGTGTGGAAGCGGCCGGGTCATTTCTCAGGCCTGTGCTGGTCGGGCAGGTCACCCGGCCCTCCACCCAGCGCGCTGGACACGGGGCCGTCCTGGGGGCTTGAGCAGGGGGTTGAGCAGACCCCTGGCCTCCACCCACGCGATGCCAGCCGCCCCTTCCAGGTGGTGACGACCAAAAATGTTCCCAGACGTTGCTGAATGTCCCCAGGGGGAGGGGTGGAACCGTCCCCGGTGAAGAGCCATCACATTGGAGGGTCACGGAAGTAAATGCTGAGTGGAATGGTACCTGGCGCTGACCGTATGGGCTGTCGCCACCGGTGTTCACGACTGTCATCGGGTGTGGGGGCACCACAGGGCCTCCCCAGGAGGCTCCAGGCAGGCCGGGCCCCATACACTCCTCTCCCACGGAGCATGTGTGGCCACCATGCCAGGAACTCCACATACATCCTTTTATCACTTCTGAGCCTCGTTTTTACTGGAGGGGAAACTGAGGCTGGCGTTCAGTGGGCTGCCTCTTGGGGGGCTGGGGCCAGCAGGGTCACCCCCAGACACTGTGGCTCTGAGCCCCCGGGGACCGCTTGGCAGGCTCGGGACCATCCCGATGGACCTTGTTCCCTGGAACCAGGTGGTCCCACTGGGGCTGTCCCCCTCCACTCCTGGGTATTTAAATTAGCTGCCACTTTAGGCAGCTTATGGTTGATGGCTCACCACAGCGGGGGCAGGGGGCTGTTTTCCTGCTGGAATCTGCTGTTTGTGCCCCAGGCCTGTCACCCCAGGGTCACAGCGGGCCCAGGCCTGCCCCCAGGGGTGGGGGCTGCAGTCATTTTATCGGGGTGTATTTTTTTCTGTCTGCTGCTCACGCCCAAGGGGAGGCCGCTGGCTTCGGTGGAACCACCCCACTCGCAAATTAACTGCCACGGAGAGGGCTGGTGGCCTCCGTGGGGAGCGCAGGGATCCCCGCCCGGTCCCGAGCCAAACTCCCCTTTGATTTAATGACACTCTCCTCCTTTAAATTGCTCCCGGTCCGTTCCACTGCAGCTTCAGTTGGCGACAGTTTTCTTCACTTGCTGTAGTAAAATCGTAGGCAGCTGGCAGCTGCCGATGGGCATCAGTTCCGCACAGCCTCCCGGCCGCGTGTCCCAAGCGGCTCTTTACTTAGGGACCCTCCGTGAGCTCTCGAAACATCTTCCCCGGTCATCGGGGGCCAGAGGCACACACGGGCGGGGGGCACACACGGGCGGGGGCGGCCCCCCCCTGAGCGTCCATGGCCCCGCTGGTGGGCTCCAGAGCCCCTGCTGACCCCACAGTGCCTGTAGAGGGCGCTCTCTGGAGAGGCTTCGCGTGGCCTGGGGAGGGAAGTCGCTTGGCTGGGGTCCCAGCCGGGGCTGTTTCCCCAGAGCCCTCTGCCCTCCTTCCTCCCAAGGGCGCCCACCCTCCAGCCCTGGGCAGGGGCCGGTGGGGCCTTGTCTATAATTAAGTCTCCTCGCTGCCCCAGGGGCCTGGGTTGCCCGGAGGGAGGGGACAGCCACGTCTCCCTGGGCCCATGGCAGGCAGGGCAGGGAGCCCTAGAGACCGGACTGGCCCAGGCATCTGAGAACCGGCTGCTTTTAGAACATTTAAATATATATATTGATAGTTGCCTTTTGTATTAAAAAAAAAAAAGTATGAAGAAACCAGAGGGTAGAGAACCCTGTCGCGCACCTGGAGGCAGCTCCCCTTGTCCGCTGGACAGCCAGCCTCACCTCTGGGCCCTTCAGTGGCCTCACCTGTGAAATGGGCGCAGGGACAGAGCCCACCTTGGGAGGCTGTTGGGAGGCACCTCCGTCCGTGCTCATGTTAACAGTGGCGTGTGTAAGGCACTCGGGACAGTCCCCGGCACGGAGTGAACTTCCTTAAAAACATGGGGACTCCCAGGGGGGCCCCGAGAGGGAAGTGTCTCTCCCTGACCTCCCGTAAACTTAGCCCTGCTCCCCGAAAGGAACCGCCTTGGATGGTTTCTTCCCGATAAATTAAGAAATAAAAGACGGCCCACGTAGCCACGCGCACCTGCGTGCCCTTTATTTCTGATTCCACGCAGCGGGGCTGGCCGCCCTGGCTTCTCTCCTCTGTCCTGACGCGTGTGGCGGACAGTGGAGGCAGGTGAGCCGGGCAGGGGTCCGGGGGCGTCTTTCTGCGCCTCGTTTGTGTTCGTGTCTGGCGCCTGTTCCGTATGGGCGTGTGAGGTCGCCCTTCCCCTAAGGGCCGCACTGTGGACAAGCGAGTTTATGTGGCCGGGCTTCCGGCGATGGGCTGTGGGCGCCGGCCGGGCTTCCACTGTCCCTAAGGGGGCTGCGGGGGGATTTCTCAGAGCTGAGAGTAGCAGCGAAAGGGACAGGAGCCCACTTACCGTCTCACGAGGTCCCCGTGCCCAGAGCAGGAGTCACGGAGGGAGGCTAGCACCGCCGGCGAGAGGGCAGGAGAGGCCCACAGCCAGACACCATCACCATGACTCACTGGGCACACATGCCAGCCCTGGTGCCCCTGCCCCCGTCCCCGGTGGCCTGAGCTCCGATCAGCCTGGAGCCGGTTCTTATCAATGCTGCGGTGACAGGAAATTGCAGGAAGTGCTTGGTGGTGGCCGTACTGCTGGGACCTGGCAGAGAGGCGGCCGGGTGGGGAAGGAGAGCCCCGGGCCTCTGCGCCCACCCTGCTTTCTTCTCCACTCTCATCCGTGGGGTCCCCCCAGGGAGGCATGGGGGGGCACACATGGTGACACAAACCCACCCTGCCACCCTCTAGCCAGCGAAGGGGACGCTGGAGTTGGTGTTTAGGGTGATTGGCCTTGAGCCGGAGGCGAAAAATCCACAATGATCCCTCTTCCTGTGACACGTGCCCTGGACACGTGCGCGTGGGCGGGGGGGGCCCAAGCCTCGGCTGGAAGCCGCTAACCCCCTGTGCTCTGTCCCCAGGAGCCTGACCAGGTGTATGAAGGCATCACCTTCGAGGACTTTCTGAAGGTGGGTGTCTGGGGAGAGGGAGTGTTGTGGGTGAGGCGGTGGTGGGGACTTGGGCAGCCAGCGGGTCAGGAGGAGACTGGCGTCTCCGCGGAAAGGTGTCGAGCCTGGGCGTGGCCTTTAAAACAATTTCAGCTGGTTTTATTTACCTTTCCACTGAAAAAAACAACACTCCCAGGTGGTCAAAACAATGTAGGTGGCACAAAGGGTGTACAGCGAACCCCCCCGGCGAGTGCCGAGTCCCCCTTCTCGGCAGCAGCCCCTGTTCGCAGTGGAGCAGGGCTCTGGAACCTTCTACGCCCCGAGTACCCGCTCTTTTCGGGAGCGCACGCGGGGCCCGCCGAGCGCGGTCCTGCCCTTGCTTTCCCGGGGCTGCGCCTTCTAGACGCTGCCCCCTTTCAGCCTCCCAGGCGGACCCTCCAGCGCCCCGAGGGGACGTCCGGGCCTCGCCCATCCTTCCCGGTCACACGTGAGCTCCCAGGCCGGGAACCGGACCCCTCGCTGCTCAGATAGGCAGATACCCGCTGCAGGGAGGCGAAGCCCCCTGCTGTGGCTCTTTGGCCCTGAGCACCCCAATATTGGTGTCCCCAAGCCCTCCATGGGATTTGAGGAAGAGAGGAAGTCGAGGACTGTGCGTGGAGGGGGGCTGGGGACTCAGGTGACCACAGCCCCATGGAGTGAGGGGCAGCCCGGCGGGGGCCCCTCCCAGTCTGCACCCCGACCTGGCCGGTCAGCAGCGAGTGCGAGGGTGGGGCAAACACAGGACCCATTTTTTTGCCTGAGAAGCCGGCTTCTTCCCCGAAGGCTGGCCACCCGCCAGGCCTACAGCCCGTGGGGGCCTTTCCTGTCAGCCAGCACCTCCCATCCCAGGCTCCACCAGCTTCCTCGGTGACCGTTGCCACGTGCATCTCGCAGAAACCACCCTGGGTGCCCAGGTGCCTTTCCCTGGAAATGTTCACCCAGCGGGGGTCAGAGCTGCTCACGTGGAGCTAGGTGTTTTCTCTGCGTCACACCACACCCAGAACAGCTGCAGGCGTCCGGGAGGCACCTGGGACCGTGGGCGAGACAGTGGCCAGAAGTGAGCCAAGGCCTCCCTGCCACTTGATTTCCCCGTCTCCAGCCTCAGGGCTGTCCCTGGAGACGCTGCGGGTGACAGCTTGAGAACGTGAAGTTCTTGCAGAAGCAGGGAGACGGTGAGAAGTCGCCACCCACCATGTCCCTCCGTTCCGTTAGCGCCCCTCCCGCCCTCTCTCCATCTGGGGCGAGCGCACAGCCGGAGCGGAGGGACTTGGTGGGGTGGCCGATAGGGTCTGGGAGCCCGGATGTCTGCCGGGGCCCCAGCCGGGAGGCACTGTGGCGAGGGACCCGGTCTCTGGGGGGAAATGACTTGTCCTTTGTGTGAGCTCATCCGTGTAGACCCTGGAGGCTTCCTGTGCCAGGCAGGGAGGTTACAGAGGCCAAACTGTGTTCACCTTGTAATCGGTGACAATGGCCTAATGAACCCGCACAACAGCCCTCAACAGTTCACAAAACACTTCTGAGGGATTCCTTTGGGAACCCCCATGTTCTGTGCTGTGGGCGGCACAGGTGGTGGTCCGGGCACGGCCCTGGCGAAGGGGAGATGGAACGCAGCTTGGCAATTCGCGTGAATGTGACGGGGCCTGAGTGGTGGGCGGGATTCGGATGACTTCAAGCTGGAGCGTGGATTCAGGGCCTAGTAATAACCGTGGTGACAATCAGAATCCAAATGTCAGAGTCAAATTCGCCAGCACAGAGGCGGTGGCAGCCGCTCCTCGTCACGTAGCTGGTCCCCCTCCCAGGGCACGTCCCCGACGGTGGCGGGTGGGGTGGGAGACGGCTCAGGATGTGCCTGGCCGCGCGAGGCCCTCACACCGCCGTCCCTTTCAGATCTGGCAGGGGATCGACATTGAGACCAAGATGCACGTCCGCTTCCTTAACATGGAGACCATGGCCCTTTGCCACTGAGCGCCGCCTCCCCGCGGACTACCAGGCTTTGCGCCGCCTGGCCTCCCGCAGGCCCCAGCAGCGAGGCCCGGGCCCGGCGGCCTTGGGCTGCAGCTCCTGCAAATAGCCCTCTGCTCGTCCCGTCCCCCAGGACGGAATGGTGTGTGGGACTCGCTGTTTTTATCTCTAATAAAAAGGAACAGGGTTTGTTAATGAACGTGGCTCCTGTCTTCCTCACGTCCACGCGAGTGGCCCGGCTGGCCGTCGGCTGGCACGAGCAGAGCCTGGGGAGCAGCCAGCAGCCGACTCGTGGGCGAAGGCTGGTTTGAAAGGGGTGGGTTTTCTCCTGTTGGGGTTTATTTTGGTCAGCTGCCTGCTGTTTTCCCTGCAGAAGGGCTGGGAATTGTCAGCTGCTGCTTGGTCGGAGGCAGGACAGTGAGGAAGCGGCTCCTGGCTCCCCGGGATCGGGGCCTCGGCCCTGGGCTTCCTCGGTGTCGTGCTCACTCAGCGCCTGAGCCGGCCTCACGGACCCAGGCTGGCCTCGGGCTCCTGGGCACTGGCACTCACGGCCTGGCCAGCTGACGCCGGGGCTCAGGCCCGGTGCTGTGGCCCCTCCTGGCAGGATGGGCCAGCTGCAGGGCCCAGCACTCAGTCCCCTGCATCGGTGGCAGCAATGCAGACTCAGCACCTGGCGGGGGGAGGTGACCGCCCCAGGTAAGCGTCTCCCAGCTCGTCACTGGGTTTGGTACAGGACTGGG